AAAAAAAAAAAAAAAAAAGAAAAGAAAAGAAAAGAAAGAAAAAGAAAAAAGAAAATGCTAACATCGCAACAATACTGAGGATTGGCTCAACTTCAGTGAACCACTGTAGAATTTTCTCAGCTAATACAGCCTGAAGCAGTAGCAGTGTGTGACTTTAAATGTTTTGGAAACTAAATATTTCACCAGTCAATGTAGATTGGAATACCTTTGGATTCTGGTTGCTCAGGACTGTCAGGACTAAATATTTCTGAGACTAAATTTAAACAACATTCAGCCTCAATGAGATATTACAAGAAAAAAAGCATCAGCTGTTTGTATATATCCATATCTGGCCGTTCCAACAAAAGCACTTAACTTTTTCACTGAAAAAGCCACCACTTATAGTTTAACATAGAACATGACACCTGTGTGACCTGTAAAAGCTGATGTTATCCTCCAGAAAACAGAATTGAATTGCATAGTAGATTTCCCTAATCTTAATACATATCAAATACTTTTACTCACGAGGAGCCCCTTCAGCCATTTCAATAGCTGTGATTCCCACGGACCAGACATCACTCTGCAGAAAAAAAAAAAAAGATGAAAAAAATGTCACTTAAAAGTGGGAATTAGGGCCCAGCAGATGGCATAGAAGTTAAGGTGGATGGATCCTACATAGCTAACTGTATGATTCAAGTCTTGGACCCAGCAGCTTGAAAATCATGCAGGGCATGAGTATGTACCTGTCCAAAGTGCAAGAGGAGAATAGAAAAGAAGGGATTGTGGTATGTTAATCAACCCCCACCCCTCCCACACACACCTCAGGGGTTGATTTCCCACTTTCTCTCTCTCTTTCTCTCTTTCTCTTTCTCTCTATCTCTTTCTGGAATGTCTACACTCCCTATAGCAAACCTTAAAAAAAGGCAGAAATTGGTAATATTTAAAATATTAAAATCATCTCTGACAAAGCGTTAGGGTGTCAATGCTAGAGTCATGTTATAAGTTTTCTACAATAAAGCTTTATTATAAACTGATATTATAGGAAGACATTATCTGAGCGTGTGACCAACCAGTACCTCACTATATAACAGATTGATATGGAATAGATTCAGTGCAAGGAAAGATCATCTTGGATGTATTGCTATACTTGCCTTACCTGAAATTCAAAAGGAACATATAGAAGTCCTATTGCATAGACCCACTTGCTGTGTGATCACAGGCAAATGATTTAACTCTCTGTACTTCAATTTCACTGTATGTAAAATGGTATTATATAGTTGTATTGTGTAGTATATTTTATATAATATAATTATATATAATATTGTATAATACAATTAA